TTTTTTTTTGCCATTGCTTCTGCTTGTAAATTTTTTTTCAGTTAGTTGTAGGGGTTGGGATGACTATCAACTGTTTAGACCCTGGAAAAGTGTGATATTCACATAGAGGGTATAATTCTAATGTCATGAGATAGTGGGTTAGCCAGGGTTTTCCAAAGAAACAGAACCAATAGGAGATAGAAGATAGATAGATAGTAGATGGATAGATAGATAGATAGATAGATAGATAGATAGATAGATAGATACATACATACATACATACATACATACATACATACATACATACGTACGTACGTACATCTCAATTACGGAGGCTGACAAGTCCCATGATTTGCAGTCAGCAAGCTGGAGAGCCAATGGTATGGTTCCAGGAGGCTCGAGACCTGGAAGAGCTGATGTTTCAGTTAGAGTCCTAAGGCAGGGAAAAAAACAATGTCCCAGTGTGCAGGCAGTCAGGCAGGGGGAATTCTCTCTTATTGGGGAAGAGTCAGCCTTTTTGTGCTATATAGGCCTTCAATTGATTGGATGAGGTCCACATTAGAGAGGGCAATCTGCTTTACCCAGTCTATTGATTTAAATGTTATTCTCATCCAAAAATCGACTTTACAAAAACATCCAGAATACTGTTTGACCAAATATCTGGGCAACTCATAGCCCAGTCAAATTGATGTGTGAAATTAACCATTACAGACAGTTACCAACAGTTCTGCCTTAGATAAATAATTTCATTCAAGGATGGCTTAATGTATAGGTTGGATAAATAGCCACCCAAGAAGGTATTTCAGTGGAAAATCCTCCCTTCTGATATCTTACCACCTCAACCAATAAATAACAGCCAAGCTTCCTTAGTTAGGACTCATCCCTTTAGATTATAATATATATTTTTCTAATTAAAATGCAGACTATCCAAGAAGACATTGTATTGATTTATTATTAGACAATAATAACTTACAGTTAGGTTCTTTATACTAGCTTTTCTAGTAGGTTCGAGGAGATTTTAACATGGGCAGGAGGGGTTGGAAGAGGGAACTTTTTAGACTTGAGAGTTCCTTGAGAGTATCATCTTGCAAACACTCTTAGGAATTAAAAAAAATATTTCGTCATTTTCAATGGTATATGATATACAAGTTATTTTACATAAAGCATAGTTTTTAGATTGATACGTTATTGGGAGGGAATTATAAGTTTCATGTTTAATATGATCTTCAATAACGTCCAGGAATAACAGCAAAAT